GTCCTCATCAAAGTTCTACCACTTTCAAAGAGTTTCGCGTGATTATTACGTGACGATATGGAAGTCGCGAAAGAATGTATCAAATGCTCAGGACGTCGCATTTACGAGGACTTTGATGCCGAAGTGAACTTCGACAGAACAAGATTGTTAGTCCAACCTACGACGCAACGTGTAGGCGGTGCTTTCGCATATGCGATTGTAATTCAACCACATAAACCACCCAACGTTTCCTCCTCCGGTTCAACTCGCTCATTCACCCACATGCTGTGATTTCCTGTTGAAACGACTCCAATCACCGCGACATGTCACTAGACGGTGGTGGTGGTGCTACACTGGTAGATGGTAAGCCGAAGAATTGGACTTCCCCGAGTTCCATACATTGTGTGAGTATTGTGCGGTTCTTTAATTTAAAATCTCTCTTGAATTGTACGCATAATTCGTATTTAGATATGCTTTACATAACATGGTCATTTGTGTACACCTGTTTACTTTTGCTATCCGATCCCACTCATGCATGTTTTAACTTATTGACTATGTTGACAAGTCAAGCGCTTGTCGCAAAACTATAACGAATTGATATACGATACACGTGCACTGTCATGCATATGAAGAGTTGTAAATGTCATATATTTTCGATTATCTATTTTGTGTCATGATCTTATAAACTTCCGACTTCCGTGTATTCATAATGCTCGTAATTTGTTTTGTTGTAAAAATGTAATTATTGACTTAGCCATTCATGTCACGGCGACCGGTACTGGCATGTCAGATGTACATTATGTAAGTTAGAGCACGTTTCACTAATGTAAACGAAATTTGAATTTTACATTTTTGACAATGGAAGAGATCACTAATTGTATTTTGATAGTGAGTAACAGACAGTTCATGTCCGAATGCAATCAACTTTAACCTATGTGCAAATAACAAGAAAGAGGCTTCTTTTCGAGAAAGTTAGTGTCCTGACAGCATTAATTCAACAAGTGCCGTGAATGCGAACGAGAGGTGCTACCACGTGGGGCCTGAATATATCCGGTCTTGATTCATTCAGCTTCAGGGAGGTGAAACGGTCAACTCGCCTCCCTGGTTCATTACATGCGAGCGGTAGGTTGATTTTGGTGACCACCCTCTCGATGTGCTCATGAGGAGCAACCATTGTTACATTCCCTTGTAGTTGTAGAGCCTTTGTCCGTCTGGTCAGGCCAGGGATAGGAATCATGGGATTATGTTACTCTCTGGCAGGTCCACGATTAATAAGATAGTGCGACTGGCGCCAATTCTTCATGGAGATTCTATTCCCATTCAGGAGGTCTATTCATGCTAAAATTGTGAAGCTCGTTGAAATAAAGCATCAATATTTCAGTTAATAATAATTGATTCAGTTTAGTTTATTATAGTCAATCCTGTCTTATAAACCAACTCCCTGTACAGGCCAGTCTCTCATAATATCTTGAATCTTTAATGAAAGGAAAATAAGTCTTGACCCACGGACTCTTTAGTAAGTCCTCTGGTCAATAGTGGCAACTTTTTGTTCTTCTGTTTTCCAAAGATGACCTTCATAGACGATTTTCTCAGTCCTAGTCTATCCTTTCAACAAATTTATTTCATCACAATTTTATTTTCAAACGCCCTCCTGCCCTCTCTACCAATTAGCTTTATTTCTAAACCACTGAATACATAGAATAGCAGTGTAGCACCCTGTTTTCACGAAGTGACGGTAGTGAGAAAAATCGTCACGCAAAGTGAATGCAATTTTTGTTCACTACCGTCACTTCGTGAAAACAGCGACGAAAAGTTGTAGGCTATATTACTTTTAATAATTGTGATAAAACTGAAATGATCAATCGATCATTACAAAATAAAGAAGAGCTGAATGCAAGGGAAGGCGTTAAATCAATATGTTTTGGGTGCTCCCGATCCCCTTTACAATTTTCATGAAATGTATCAGAAACCTGGCATTATTGATCTACATGCATATTTTGTGTGATTCGGAGCGTTGATAACTGTATTCGTTTAATGTAGTTTGCATGATGTATGTGAAGAGGGATAATTAGTAGAAACCCTTCGACTGAGTCTCTTGTCGTTGATTAATGAAATCTCCAGTTTTCGCTTGAAGAGTGCGTCTCCGACTTCAGCCATTGAAGAGTACACACTCGTAATTGATTGTGATTGTCCGTAGGATTGGTGGGAAGCACACAATCATGACAATGGATAATAGGGCATTTTAGCTCCCGAGCTCTCAACTCTTCACAATACTCCCAACTTTCCTCTATTCAGATGTGGATTATATAGATCCACAGTCCCGTCTCCAGAGGAGAGGACGCAGCGAACACACAATACATCTTTGAATTTAGTTAGAAATACCCCAGCCCTGATATTGAATAGAAGAATTATGTTCCCATGTTGAGGTGGTATACCGCAGATGAAGAATATCTGACGATTTATGAACCTTTGTGTTTTTAATCATGCCCCACCCCCTCTAGAAATACATGAAATTAATGGGATTGGAGTTGTCGGTAATGGGTATATAGAATGTTAATGAACTGTGTTGCATCGTAAAAATATTAATCAAAACGAAATACGAACTTATACAGGCTGGAATATTTTCATAATTGTATGCAGGAGAGCTTGTCAAGTTATTTAGGTGAGCCTTGTTTTCTAAGAACGAATAGATGAAACTCATTTTTGATTTTGTGTTTCACATTTTGTGCGTTTATTTTAAAAGATACTTTGGTGGGTGGGCAATCGAATTTATGTCTGTCGTTCAGTTTATTTCCCCTGTCCTGTACATCATGTACATGTAGTCTTCCACCCGTTATAAAACTGTATGCCGTACCTGTTATCCTTGCTCGTACATGTTATGTTAGACTGTTACTAGTATTGGGCTATACATGCCTAAATTATATGGCGCCTATCGGCGTACCTCGGCTTTTTCAGAACGGACTTTGATCCTAAATACTGCTTTGATCCTTTGCCCTACTTGTCAGGGTCGAATGAAGTTGATGGGCCGTGGTGCACTGCGCTTGTGAGGCATCCATACTGCACTGATTTTGTGTGGCGTCCATACTTATGCACTTAGACAGCGCCGGGGACGCTTTTCTTTTCTTTGTTGGGATGGGGTGGGGGGGGGTGTATTGCTATGTTATTCATGTTTAGGAATACTTGTAAACCTTGTTTCATTAACAATTTGTTTGCAACACTTCTGAAAAAATGGAAGATAACAGGAGATAATTAACGTAGGATTAGTATGCGTTATATTCGCCAACTTTGCTTTAGCTCATTAGGTGAAAAACCGTGAAATAACGAGAACGTATACGAAGCCACATTCATCATTCCCTAACCCTTATGTTTCCATGTCCGCCGCCATGAGCGGTTTCAATCATGTAAATACGTCGATTTTTGTATGCAAGATTATTCGTTTCTGTTTTTGCAGAGTTAGTGTAATACGCAGTCAATGAGATGTCCTAGTTTCGGTTTTCAAATAGGCGCACACAACCTTCCTCATTTGGGCGAGCTGTTTAGATACTTCCGAGATAAAAAGCAAGATACCGGTTTTGATTAAAAGTAGGAGTAATTCATCATAATCGCTATTAGAATCAGCTGGGTACGGGGACAAGCCATAAGTGTTATACCAATATTTAATTACGCATTAGTTCTTCCATTTGTATTTATCTCTTCATAAGTGAATAAATACGCGGTACTGCGACTGTGCGAGAGTGAAGAATAACCGCAATTGATTTATTTTCTTTCAAAACGATATTGCCTTTTTTTCTTCATTATCCGACTTTATTCGATAAAGGAATAGAATTATTGATTGAATGCTCTACATGCAACTGTCCTCTGCTTGCTATTTAGGATATAATTGCATCGGCCTTTGTTGAAAACTTGGTATTTCATACTGAGGTATAAAGAGCAATAGAAGTTGAGGTAGAGGTCTCCGGTTCCCCCGTTGCAAGCATGGTTGGGAATGGGAGTGGTATAGCCTGGTCGCTACTGCGATGAACCCAAGATGCCTGTGGGCTGCACTCTGACCTCGACAGTTTCGGAAGTATTACCCATAGTGCTTTGCACCGTGGGAACTGGGAGAAATGGGGAGCCTGTGTGCCTCCGACGAATGTCGCGAGTCACCGCCGTGGTAATACTTACATCATAAGATGTGTGTGCAGTATTCACCGCTATTGCAAGTTTGCCGGAAATTAGATAAATTATTGAATTACTTAAATGTGCCTTTATGATAATGTGAATGTTAGACAAGCAATAATAAGCTCTTAGCAATAGTAGCTGTAGAAAGAAGAACTTTTCTACTACACATGGTTTACATTTGCAAACAATAAAATAGGAGATGTAGATTATGTCGCAATCGTTTGTATTATTTCTCAACTTGTATTCTTTTGCATTTATGATAGGTGACCAGGGGAAAGCCAGCTGTAAATTTGGGTTGACCTGTCACCCTCTGGAGACAGATGACAAGTTATGGGCCGGACGTTTCCAAGGCAACGCCCACAATGGTATGCGGAAACCTTATCGACAGCCATTTTCCCCTGTCTGTAGGATAGACTCACATTGACAGTCGTTTGTGCTCTTTCTTAACTTGTGCATGAGAGCTGATACATACTACAAGCTATTATTTTTAAGAGCGATCCCAAATCTCCAAACAATGTTACTTGTTATTGTGAGAGCCAAACAAAATTAATGTTCCAGATTTTATCTCGTACCCACCCTACTTCGTAAATGTACTTCATATAATATAAATGTAACTTATATAGCACTAACTCCATTCCGTGGAGTTCTCAAGGCGCATGTAGAAATAATTGAAAAATAAACAGAAGCGTTTTTTTTTAAAATGATATCGGGTAAATGGTTACCGACTACGTTTAAAAATATGGCAAACATTTGCGTAGGGGGTAGTGGCAGCGGTGGGATGTAAATTACCAGCTGAAAGAACGATTTTACCCGAGTTGACCTCTCAGTGTCTAAGGTCAGTTTATCAAGGTCATCACCATGGTGATTGATGGTCAAGTCGGACCGAGCGCAATGTTGTTCCTCTATTGAGGTTTTTCGAATATTGCACTTGTCCCGGCCTGCTCATCAACACCAAAATCATCGGCAGCAACGTAAGGGCATTCTTATTTAGAGAAGTAAAAATAGGAATGGTATTTAAGCCGAGAAAGGTGTGAAACAGTATTGTAAATTATGAATTTATAATATAATCAGCGAAGTGGTAGTCACCTTTGTTCTTTTTGTTATGTAACGTGAACATAGTAGACTATAGTGATAGTTAATAGCTAATGCTGCATGAGCATTTCTTAATGAAAATCAATTTGAATGAGTCACGAAGTACAGAGTGTTTCATTTTGGCAATCGGGGTTATTCTCTCATCGTGATCATCTATTATTGTTTGGGCTAGTTTCGTTTCTTGTAGTATTTAGATTATTGGATTAGGAATAATTTGCAATTAAGTTGCGAGAGGCGTGGGTGGATCGTCGTCCTATTCCTAAGAGAAGGCATCCTGTAGTAGATATAACCTTCGCCAAGTGTTTAGCAGTACGCGTAGTTGATATGAGTCACCGTTTCTATCTATCTCTGAATGATAGGTACATTCCTTGCAGGCTTCTGTATGCCTGCTGTGGTTTAGATGTTTACTATCCCGTATCTTATCAAGGAATCTCCTGATAAAGGTGTGCATACCACCAGCTATTCCTTGGCGTTACAGTGTAAACAGTACTGCGTTTATTGCCCGCAGTTTACAGCCCTTCCTATGTACTCGCTTGCATGGCATAGCTGTGTAAACTTCTTCACTACGCATTGGAGAATAAGAATGGGAGCTTTGTTCTTTCACTTCTTTAATATGATTGAATACGTATAATTATCACTCACTCTAGGTTCATTAGATTAAAATATGCCTGGTTATTTCAATCGCAAGTTTGGAGTCGCCTATCTATTGTGTATATAGTTCAGATTGATATCAATCGCAAATAAGTTGCGATTAATACCAACTCTCTGTTAGGCAGGGCCCTGGTTTAGAACAGTGAACAATGAATGCTTGTCGATCTGAAATTGTGATGTTTCTTAAAAATAATATTTAAATATAAAGCATTAATTTCGAAATAATCCATTGCTTGTTATAATATCATGGACCAACTCGGGTAGTATATCCACCGGCATTCTTGAATGTGATGGCTATACTAATAGAATCTGGATCAATGCATTTCCAATACTAGTGATACATTATGCCGCACTGCGTGTGTCTCTCTTTCGCTCAACTGCGGTTTGAATTCCAGCTCTAACACAATGGGTATGGCCACCGTCTTATTCATGTTGACCATCGGAGCGGCTTAAAATGTGAACAATGTAAAGCTTTAACCGAGGAAGTCTTTTGTATGGAGGGTGGATGAGTGGGGGTTCGTGAGGCCTTCAAGGTATTTGTTCCTCTAGAATCAATCTGATCACTGAATAAGCATTGTGAATACTTAATCAAGTGTGACAGGGCCTTGTACACCAAGTTAGAAAGCGAAGGACTACAGTATCAACATTGCTTGTAGTAATGACTACTTTACAATGCTCCATGTTACACTACGGCGACCAAGTTGATGGGCCGTGGGTTCTACAACAGCTTTTGGAGAGAAGTGGTTGAGTTCAGAAAGAAACAGCCTTTTTTTCTTCTCTCTCCATCATCAGTAGAGGGCAGCAAGCTGGTCGTGAGGAGTTGCAATTTGTCCACATGATAATAATCATCATATTGCACTCGTCCCGGCCTGCCTGCTTGCCCTCAATCTCAGGACCAACGAAAGTGAATCGTTTCACCCTATCTGCATAATTTTAATCCATCTTCATGTGAAAGTACTGCTGCTGTGGACCACGATCTCCCTGCAGGAACTAGTGGATTTCGGCGGCCGGGGACATTCAGGTATAGATCTGGCACTATCGTAATAGACTATTTTCGTTATGTGATCAAATTCAAAGCGAAATAATTAAAAGTTTGCAATTCACACAGGGACTAATAAGACACAAAATTATGTGCACTAAATTGTATTACACTTCTCCTACTTGTCTTCCTCCACAGCTCTCCGGAGATGTAGGCTTGCAGGGAAAGGATGTGACTTGACTTCGAGACGAGCTTTTGTCAACGAATCTTGTCTTGTAGGTCGTGACTCGTGCCCAATATTCAGTGTTACTGCACATCAATATTGCACTTGTCCCGGCCTACTGGATAGGTTCTAATCTCCGACATCATTTTTCGCTCCTCATCATGCATGTCTCATTTAGATGTAAAAGAAAAAGTCGTCATGAGACCGACGGCGTCCCATCTTATCGTCGAATTCATCGTTATACAACCGGGTTTTCGAAAGACATCTCTAGGGGTGCCGCGAGAGAAATTGATCCAATTTGAAATAAACGTCAATTCTGTGGAGAAAGAATATCAGGAACCGCTGTGTATTGTCATGATGAAATTACAATTTAAAGACGAAGTGTCTCTTTCTTTGCTCGCTCACAACATTTAGAAACGAGAACATTCTGGTTAACGAGATGCCGAATATTCTTTTTTTGTAAGGGTACCCGAACAATTTTGTTGGTATTCGTGTTTTAGGCGGCGCGGTGCCCCGCATACACAATGTTATATCTTTTCTAATGTTTTGATTACAAAATTAACATTTTTACCACACTCAAAATTTTCCTGCTCGCAACTTTTGTTATCCAAATATGTTCTTATACTTGTGTAATAGTAATGATAAACCATTCTTATATAGCGCATATCACAAAGATAAATTTAATGCACTTAACATGTACGACAGCGATGCAAAATGCATCTTCTGTAAACAAATTAGGGGATGGTAGTCAAGGTAGATGGTGAATATTCCGCGCCGACGAAGTACATGCATTCTCTTTACTATAACGTTAATGATGCTGAAGTGTTTAAATTAATCAACGTTTGAGTAGACCGACGTCGTAGCTGTGATCATTAACCAAATCGTGCTGGTCAGGATGCTTGCAGTGCTGTGGCTTGCTCGTCTTATGACGAGCAAAACTAAAGCTTTCTTAGTATTGCACTCGTCCCGGCCAGTAGGGTATCTGGTATAAAACATCTTAGGCGGCATTGGTGAAGGAACTATTTTTCTAAGGCCAATTGTCACCATGTATTAAATTCATGAACTCCACTTCATCCCGGAATGAACGGACAAGGAGAAAATAACAAGGTTAGTATAATGCGATGGTATGTAAGCTTAACTTATTGAAAAGGTCGTCGTTAAAAGTAATTTTTGATCAATCAAAATATTCTTAGGATAGACTATACCGAATGTTAGAATAATTGTTTGATGCAAACTTGTATGAGAAGAAAATAAATCCTAGTTATGCATCACCGACAAGACGGAACGACCAAATAAATCAATTTATCCCTACGGCAAAAAATTAAGTCGATTTGGATATCCCTGATATCACGTGATATAATTATGTCCAAATACATGTAAGAGTGTCAGTAGATTTCAATTATATGTTGGTGGTCTGCTGCATGATGTCTTGATGAACAATTCAGAGTCATGAGCTCATTTCCATCGAAACAAAAATTTCATCTCAGAACTAGAATAGGGCATGGATAAAGAAATAGTAATAGCTATTAAATTCGTATGCATTCTTCTCGAATAAAAGTTGCTCTTACCATGGACCTATGCTCTTACTATTTTTCCAGATATATTAATGAGGATGCACTTAAGTATACCAAAGGTTCTTCAAAAGAGTATACATCCATACTTTTGTTAAAAACATTAGTTGCTCAAATGCACGTTTTTGGACCAGTTGCCTTGTTTTTTCAAACATGTCGGCCCGAATTCACAAAGCAAGGTTTGAGCTCAAACCTCCTTTTGTTTCGCCAAACCTCCTTTTGTTCTTTACAAACCAGGTTTGTAAAAAACGCGTAAAACGCGTCATATGACGTACGAAAACCAAGGTTTGTCGACAAACCTTTGTGATTTCGGGCCTGTGTGTATGATAGTATCTCGGTAGATTTAATTAGACTTTCGTGAAGTGATTTCGAAAAGGCTCGCCTCGTCTAAAGAGATTGATGATAAATGAGAAAAAAGAATGTGTTGCAATATTCTTCTAAAAACAAAATACACTTTGCCAAAAAAGTTTCTGATAGGCAATTGTCGAAATGCGAAGTGTATACATTACTTGTTGTTAGGGTAGGGAAAGTCATAATGGTTGTCCGGCCAGGCCTCTCGCCAAGAAACTAAAAAGGCGTGGCGCGACTCGAGGGAAATTTGACCCCCCCCCCCCCCCCCCCCCCCCAAAAAAAGGAAAAATTTGAGAAAAAAAAGTATTACAAGTACTTTACTGTATTATATTCCGGGTCATTGTCATATTTACCCTTGCACTAAATAATCTAAATTATCAATGTTTTAGTAGTCTATGTTGGAATTTGTGAAATTTGTTATCCAATGTTACGAAGGAAAACAAATGAGAATGATCCTAGTTGTTTGGATTTTTGTTCGGGCTAGACCAAGTCATGTATTTAAAGCTGTTATTATTTTCCTTATATTAAAAACAATATTGCATTTTCTTATTTTCACAAAAATAGCAGTACTCAATATTAGTACTCAATTATTATTTGTAATTTGCTGGAAATCGTTCTTGTAAAATGAGAAATTCACGAGTTTGAGTAGGATTTCAAATAGGGCAGTTCATTCATGACTTGCGAACCCCCTCTGAGGATTTTTTTTTATTTTTAAAAAAATGTTTAAGAAGGCGTGGCCGCAATTTGTTTGCGAACTTGTCCCGACGTAACAATAAGTAATGTATGCATTGATTTTTAAAAATTGATAATGGCCAAAATCAAACCGTTTGAACCTTTGCGCAGCATAAAACGTACGACCATTCGACAAGGGTCTCAAAATCAGGCTATTACTAAAATGATTGCAATCACTTAACCCTTACTGTACTGGGCTATTTCGAGCACTCTCTGACTGGGGGGGGGGGGGGGGCCTGGGAGGCCCCCCCCCCCCCTATGATCTCGGCCGTTGAAGGTCCGATGAACGCGAAAATTTGCATGTTTGTAGATATTTACGTAAGGAACAAGATGGTATAATTAGTTTTTTCCTAATATGCAAATTTTTGTCGTTATTGCCTAATTAATTATGCAAAATGCTAATTTTATGCATTTTACAGAAAACTCTACATATTTGTCCGTAGACTTGTGAAGAATCTTGAAAATGTATTGAATAAATGTTTCCTTCATCTCAAATTCATAAGGTTTCATTATTTTTATGATATTTGAAAATGCATAGGTTAATTTGCATAAATTATGAATATGCATTCATGAATATCAAAATCTGGAAATATATATAGGGAACTATAACTATAATCACTACAAAAATTGTCAGACTCCCCTTTTTGAATGTTGAAACCTTTGGTTGAAACTCATTATTCATATAAAAAACTTCTTTTCTTACACAAAACAGTTATTTGATGTAATTAATAATGATAATTTATGCAAATTTGATGCGATTTTCAACTATTTATTTTCTTATGTATTTTATTGTTTTTTTATTTCTTATTATATCTATTGTTTTATTTCTAATGTATTCTTTTGTTTTGAAATACATCAAGTTACTTTGAGAAACATATAAAAGCAATTTGATATCAATTCATATCTTCAAATTTCTGCTTGTACATGAATATATGCAATTATAGCACTTTTTTGATGACATGCGCATACTAATTGTTATGTAACACCTTACGGGTATATCCGATTTCGACGAAAATGGTATCAAAATGTGCGTAAGATTTGGGGGGAAAAAGTCATGAAACGACAATTCAAAATTCTGAGCGGTTGCGGCGCGATCTCCGAAAATGTCGAGGGGGGGGGGGGCCTCCCAGGCCCCCCCCCCCCCCCCAGTACAGTAAGGGTTAAGCCGATTCGATAACTAATACTCGTTATTTTCCCTTTAAACGACATTTACAAGCTATCGTTTTGGTTTTGACGGAAGTTTCAATTTAGTGTTGTCTTTCGAATGCCGTTGGAATTTAACCTTTCAATTTTTTTGGCCTGCAAATGGGACATAAATATGGCCGGTTAATCCCGAGTTCTCATGGTAGACCCTGACTCGCTTCCTCATCTTCCGAGATGGGTTGGAGGTGGACCAATATATTGATTTGTTTCATTCCGTTTTTTCCCCCGTCAATCTTTTGTACTAGTACTACTTCTTTTTCTTTCTGGTCCCTTAGGAAGACCAAATGCACTATTCTAATGCAAATGCAGCTGACAATGTGCTACCACTGGCGTACCTATTGGGGGGGGGGGCAGGGGGCAGAGTGCCCCCCCCCCCCCCCCTGACGGGCTCCAGGGGGGGGGGAAGAAAAAGGGGAAAGAAAAGAAAGGAAAGGAAAGAAAAAGAAAAAAGGAAAAAAAGAGAAAAAGGAAAAAAAGGAAAGAAAAAGGAAGAAGAAGAGAAAAGGAAGAAAAAGGGAAAAGAAAAGGAAAGGAATAAAAACGGGGAAATTTTTAAAAAAAAGACCATGGCCGTACGCACCAGGGGGGGGGGGGGGCAGTTGACCCCAGATATTTTTAAAACGTACAGTTTTTTTCCTGAAAATGTAGTGTAGGCCTATACCAAATCCAGTTCGGTCGCTCGAACTCCCTTCACTCATTTTGCTTTTGAGATTCTCCCCCACCAGAAAAATATCCCGCATACGGCCCTGAAAAATTAAAACAAATGAAAATAGGAAAATAATTATAAGTGATATAACAAATTCGAAACTCTTCGCTGGCGGGAACTGCTTGCTAGCCTATTTTGTATTAAATGTTTTCACTTGCTCGTCCCCCTGAAAAAAGAAAAGGATTAGTATTGCCTAGAATACAATTGTGCCTGCCCCGACGGGCCCCGACCTGCAACCATGGCAACAATAACACACAATATATGTACCAAATGTTACTAAAAGAGACTAATTCATTTTTCTCGCTCGCTACACTCGCTCGCGAATAAAATGAATAGACATTGCTTTGGAAACAATTGTGCCCACCCTTGACCTGCAACAATATCATTAAAAATGGAATAGTTTTTTCGCCCTCTCGCCAAAAAGGAATTGAATCGCGTTAAACGCGATTGCGTCCATCCTGACCTGCACCAATAAAAACAAGTTTATTTATTAATTTCTATTAAAGAGAATTTTTTTTTTTTTGCTTGCTCGCTATGCTCGCTCGCCAAAATGGAATTGACACCGCTAACGTGCC